GGAAGGAAGGAAGGAAGGAAGGAAGGAAGGAAGGAAGGAAGGAAGGAAGGAAGGAAGGCAGAATAGCAGAATAACAGAGTTGGAAGGGACCTTGGAGGTCTTCTAGTCCAACCCCCTGCTCAGATAGGAAACCCTATCCCATTCCAGACAAATGGCTGTCCAGTCTCTTCTTCAAAACTTCCAGTGTTGGAGCATTCACCGCTTCTGGAGGCAGGTTGTTCCACTGGTTAATTGTTCTCTGAGGAAATTTCTCCTTAGTTCTAAAGGTCACTTTTCTCCTTGATTAGATTTCACCTGTTGTTCTTGTCCTGCCAATGTTTTGGAAAATAGAGTGACCCCCTTTTCTTTGGGGCAGCCCCTTAGATATTGGAAGACTGCTGTCCTGGACATCACCACATAGGTTTTCTTGATGAGATACAAGCAGTTAGAAGGTCCCAAAAAGGGATCACATGAGCCTGGGACGCTGCAGCCATCATAAATATGAGTCATTTGCTAAGTGTCTGAATTTTGATCACCTGACTATGAGGATGCTGCAACGGTTGTGTGAAAAATGATCATAAGTCACTTTTTTCGGTGCAATTTGTAACCTTCCAACGGTTACTAAATGAACTGTTGACAGTTGAGGATTACCTGTGTCTCCCAAATTTTCCCATTTGCTAGGCTATGAACGTCGCTGGATTAAAGAAAAAAAAATCCGCACAGACTAAAGGAAATAAATATTTAGTTATCAAGGCAACGGTTTGCCAGTTTAATTGCTCTTTGCTTCGTTACAGAAGGCTCCAGGTGGGCGTTTTCCAGCCTTGGGGCTGTTTGGCATCCCGCTGCACTTGTTGCGTCCTTCACAACATGTCGAAGGTGTGCCAGAGTGAGTAATTTTGGATGCACTTCTCTACACGTCCTGGATAATCCCCCAACAATTTCTTCCCGTCAATTAATTGGGGGAAAGAGAACTGTTGGGATCTGTGAACTATCATTCAGGAGCCGTGCACTGAGGAAATAGTAGAAGAGAATATTTGTAGCTCAGGGTTCAACTGGGGGGGGGTGTCCTTGGCACTCTCTGAGCTTGGTGGTTTTCTTGCAGACGTTTCGTGACCCAACTAGGGAACAACATCAGTGCTGGAAGGGAGCCTACTCCCTTGTGAAGAAGGGAGGAGGAGAAGGAGGACTGTGGGGTCCTTGGTGCTCTCTGAGCTTGGTGATTTTCTTGCAGATGTTTCATGACCCAACTAGGTAACGTCATCAGTGCTACGTTTACAGAGTTTACAGAGAGCAGACCACACTTTCTACCAGTGATCATGTTACCTAGTTAGGTCATGAAATGTCTGCAAGAAAACAACCAAACTCAGAGAGCACCAAGGACCCCACAGTCGTCGTCCTCCCCCCTCTCCTCCTCCTCCCTCTCCCCTCAAACCTCACATCCTTCTAGCACTGATGGTGTTACCTAGTTGGGTTGTGAAACGTCTGCAAGAAGACAACCAAGCTCAAAGAGCACCAAGGACCCCACAGTCTTCTTCCTCCTCCTCCTCCTCCTCCTCCTCCTCCTCCTCCTCCTCCTCCTCTCAAACTTCACATCCTTCTAGCACTGATGGTGTTACCTAGTCAGGTTGTGAAACGTCTGCAAGAAGACAACCAAGCTCAA